ATTTTAGGAAGGGCAAAATGCTTGGATCATTTTAGTTAAATAATTGTTTTAAGGGCTGGAGCAATAGCACAGCCATAGGGCATTTGTTTTCCATGTGGCCGGCCCAGCTGAGCTGGGTTAGATTCCTCCGCCCCTCTCGGAGAGCCCGGCAAACTACCGAGAGTATCTTGCCCGCACGGCAAAGCCTGGCAAGCTACCCGTGACATATTTGATATGCCAAACTGTAACAACAAGTCTCACAATAGAGACATTACCGGGCCCACTCGAGCAAATTGTTTTAATATTTCTCAGGATTATTGATTTAATTTTAGAAATTTCCTGTATGTTTAAAATAATGGTGTTTTTGAAGCATAACACTTAATCTTGAGATTAAGATAGACTTCGTTATTAGTTCTGAGAGATGACATTTACATAGAAAGTTTGATTTGGAAAACATTTTACCACTTCTTATCATAGACAGCAATATTTGTTTAAAAGTTGTAAATAGCTTTTGTTGCTCACCTAAATTATAGACTATATTTGAAATAGAAGTTTGCTTTTAACAGGTAATAATTAAACTGATGATATATCATCATGTACCTAGCCCCAATGAATTGAAGAAATAAAAAAGCACTGAGATACATTAAAAAAATTATAACTGAACAAATACACTTTGTGAAGTAAAAGTTATTCAGAAAGATTAACATTAAAACACAATGCAAGATGTCAATTTGTCCGGAGAATTATAGTACTGTGGTGCAGATGAAAAATTTCTAGGTGAAGATAGCTAAGAATAAAACACAACCTTTTCAGAATCAAATATAAAATGATTGTCTAAGGAAATACGTAAGATTAATATAAGATTAAATTCCACATAAAATAATCCTCCTAATATTCCATTTTATTCATGGGGTCTTGACTTTAAAACTATTTGGCGGGGGCTATAATAATAGTACAGTTGGTATGGCATTTGCCTTGCATATGGCATGCTGGGTTCAATTTCTGGCACACCATACTGTCCCCCAAGCCTGTCAGGATTATCTCTGAGCTAGATGTGGCCCCAAAACAAAACAAAAACCTTTTTTTCTGCTGAATAATTTATGGCATCAAATATTAATTACATGGATTGCAAAGGTATTTATGAGTTAAGGGGTTGAGATTCTGAATACAGTATGAATATAATTTATATTCTATATACATTAAGAGTCTCCTGCCCCCGCGCCTGGCTGTCCTCCTGGGGCCCCTTGAAGGGGGGCGGGTTGGCTTTCCCTCCCCGCCCTGAGTAGAACCCCGGCAGCTGAAGACTTTCAGAACCAGCCACAGCCATGCTGAGACTACTTTCCACACATCCGGACAAGCCTCATGCATGAAGGAACCAGCAGAAGAACCCAGGCACGCGGGTCCTGGGGCTGAGATCTCCAAGCCTGCTCAGATCGGGACTGGGCCTTCTCCACCCAGATCCCCCATCTTCCAGTGGGTAGGCGTCAAACCCACCAGCTGCTCCGGTGCCAGGTGGTCCCATCAACGGCCAAGAGCCAGAGACTCTAAAACCCAGCTCCCGGAAGGGCAAAGTCGTGAATGCCGCTGCGCGACATCTTATTATCTCGTTCTTACTTTGGAGAACCCGGCAGGCTACCGAAAGAATCCTGCCCGCATTGCAGAGTTTGGCAAACTTCTCGTGTTGTACTCAATATGCCAAATACCAGTAACAATGATGGGTCTCATTCTCCTAACACTGAAAGAGCATTGAATACGGCTCTTTTAAAATCTCAGGACTAGGAAGGAGACGTTACTGGTGCTTGCTTGAGGCAATCGATGAGCAGCAGGATGATCGTGATCGTGATACATTAAGAGATGTATTAGAATTCTATAAAATAATAGTAAGATAAAATAAAAGGGAAAGAAAAAAGAACCTTAATCTATGGTTTTTAAAACTTCAAATATTTTTGTTTTAACATACTGTTTGGGACTACAGATTTTCCTAAGAGAGTAGTGACTATTAACGTCACACACTCTTAAAATATGGTAAGATCCATGAGAACATCTGATAAAACTATTTAGAAATTTAGAGCAAAACTAAGATAAAGTATACATAAAATTCAATTTACATGTAACTGAGGGTATAAGGTGAATATTATAGAAAAATGGGAAATGAGTCTAGTAAATTGCTGTATTCTGTGAAACATGGTATTGCCTAAAGTAAAAATAATTTGTCATGGATTGAAGCCATGGGATTGGAGGACGGAGGTTGGTAGGGGAGAGTATGTCCAGTATGGCCATTGTGCAGTTGTGGTTTCAGAGGTCACAGTCTTGGGAAGGCATTTCTTCAGGCTGACTGTGAGAACTACAAAGAAGTAGACATCATTTTGAGGCTGATAGTGAATAGTTAAAAGGAAAAAATAGTGTAAATTCAAGATGTCATGAAAAGCAAAAGAATCTTAGGATATTAAGGTATTATTCAAATCTATCTGATAAAGTACTTTCTATATATGTTATTTGTATACTTTGTTCTTTCCATCCCTCTATAGGTAACAATAGCTTTAATCTGCCTGGTGAAATATCTTTGTGTTTATTTATATTCTTCTAGGCACTTTTTAAAATATAGTTTAAGGTTTATATACCTATATAGGTATAGCTACTAATTTTCCACCTGCAATTTTTTAAATCCCCTTTTGGTAATTACATGATTTGTTTAAGTTATTCTAATTAATATATGTATAGATTCCTTCAAGCTTTTATTATTTTGTGTTTGTCACCATACATTTGAAATAGAATTTTAAAAAGAAGTATTGTTCAAGCAAAGGGAAAATGTATTTTTAATTTTACTAGACAAAGGGATATTTTATATATATATATATATATATTTTTTTTTATTAGTAAAACACCATGAGGTAAAGTTGTAGACTTACAATTTTTGTGCTCGGGTTTCGATTATACAATGATCAAATACCCATCCCTCCACCAGTGCCCATTTTCCACCACCATGTATCCCAGTATCCCTCCCACCCCCATCCCCCTCATCCCACCCTGCCTCTGTGGCAGGGCATTTCCGTGTTCTCTCTCTCCTTTTGGGTGTTGTGGTCTGCCAAAGAGGCATTGAGTGGCAATCATGTTCGGTCCATAGTCTACTTTCAACGTGCATCTCCCATCCTAGGAGGATCCTCCAAACACCCTTTATTTGATGCTCCCTTCTCTATCTAAGCTGCCCTTTTGCCTAGAATGCCCGGCTGGCCTCTACGCCATGGAGGAATCCTCCTGGTACTGATCTCGGCTATTCTTGGATTTTAATCTCCTATTTTGTAACTTTATGTCCCCTAGATGAATGCGATCTTTTTATGTCTATCCCTCTCTTTCTGACTCATTTCGCTTAGCATGATACTTTCCATGTAGTACCACTTGTATGTAAATTTCATGACTTCATCTTTTCTAGCAGCTACATAGTTCTTCATTGTGTAGATGTACCAAAGTTTCTTTAACCAGTCATCTGTTCTTGGGTACTCAGGTTTTTTCCAGATTCTGGTTATTGTAAAAAGTGCTGCAATGAACAAACAAGTGCAGATGTCACTTCGACTATACATTTTTTCCTCTCTGGATATATTCCCAGGAGTGGTATTGCTGGGTCAAATGGGAGCTCAATTTCTAATTTTTTGAGAATCGTCCATACTGTTTTCCAAAAGGGCTGAACCAGTCGGCATTCCCACCAACAGGACAAAGGGATATTTTTAAAGCATATTAAGATGTAGAGAGTTGGTAAAGAGTCATGGACACCCTGGTGGGGAGTAGATGTAGTACATCAACATCATCACCAGACATGCCACTCATGTACAGCAACACCAGAAATGTTAGCATGATTGTAACCAAATTGCTAAATTATACGAAAAATAAATTATAAGAATTAAGAAAACATGAATGCTCCCAATAAGATGTTAGAGTTTTAAAAATAATTCATAAAAATGTCTTAAGTTAAGTTATCATAATTTGTCAAAAACATATCAGGTAAATCCCCCATGGAGCCAACCAGAGTGTGTAATTCCTTACCGTTAACTTTTATGTTTCTTGCTCTTGCTCTTTCTCTCTCTCTCTCTCTCTCTCTCTTTCACACTGTCTCCCTCCCTCTCTTTCTAGATTAAATGAAAGTATTTACTTCATCAAAAAAAAATAAAATTGAATGGTGGTATTTAATTATTCAATTTAGCACAGCGGGTAGGGCGTTTGTCTTGGATGTGGTCTAACAGACCAACCCGAGTTTGATTCCTCTGCCCCTCTCAAAGAACCTGGCAAGGTACTGAGTGTATCTCGCCTGCACGGCAAAGCCTGGCAAGCTACCCGTGATGTATTCGATATGCCAAACACAGTAACAACAAGTCTCACAATGGAGATATTACTGGTGCCGGCTTGAGCAAATCGGTGAACAATGGGAGGACAGTGCAGTGCTGTGTAGATATTTCTAGTGTATAATTCTAGTGCGGGTGAGATATTCTTGGTAGCTTGCCTAGCTCTTCAAGAGGGGCGGAGGAATCAAACCAGCATCACCCTGGTTGGCCGCGTGCAAGGCAAAAGCGCAACCCGCTGTGCTATCGCTCCAGCCCAATATCTACATAATAGCAATATAATACTTATAAAGTGTTGCTAAATTTTCAGCTTTTTCTCCTTAGGGCTAAGTTGTAATTTAGCTTTTAAATAAAAATTAAATATATGTTCTCAAATATATATATTTTATTATATATATTCTTAAAATATATATTTCATTCCTTGAAATTATCAAATTTGGTAAAAACACTATTTTTATGCTTTTCAGTTACTATTAGCTTTTGAAATCTGGAGGAGAAAAATCAAAAACTGGGAAAATTATAATTGCCTTTATTCATGTACGTAGCTAGAATTCAACCTCATAAAAAGATGGTTGGATAGTAAATTGAAAATAATAGACTCACATTTAAGTAGTTATATATATATGTTTGATTATACATATACATAATATACACATTCTTAAAAAGTAACATACAGCAAGAAAACAAATATATGATTCATGCCACTAATTCTTCATCTCTAAATAAAGGCAATAGTATTCGCAAGGTGACATATAGAAAAATTGATTAAGATGACTTTTCCTTCTTTTTAATTTTCAGGATTTTAATTTTCATGTTTCTACGTCTCTTTGGAAACCTTCGTAGGCGCTTCTTTATCTTGTACTTCTTCATGGCTAAATTCAACAAAATGAAAAGAAACATCATGTCTTCAGTTTGCAGGCTACAAACAACATATCTAATATGGTTTTAATCTCATCTTGCTTTTAGTAATTTTAAGGTTTAACTTTCCATCCATTCAGTTACACTCCACTGATAAAACACTTATGTAGTGTAATTTATACACTTATACACTTATATAGTGTATATAAAGATATAATAACTATTAATTGCAGCTAGCCATTATAAGCATTTTGACAAAACTGAATAGTTCAAAATTTTTATTTATCTAACAGTAATCAAGAAATGGCACCAGGGGCTGGAGCGATAGCACAGCGGCTAGGGTGCTTGCCTTGTGTGGCCTACCCGCTGTGCTATCACTCCAGCCGACCTGGGTTCAATTCCCAACAACCCATATGGTCCCCTGAGCACCGCCAGAGGTAATTCCTGAGTGTAGAGCCAGGAGTAACCCCTGTGCATCGCCAGGTGTAACCCATTAAAAAAAAGGAATGTCACCATGCTCTTAATAAGCATGGATTCATAAAATACTATTTTAATCATGAATTATTTATAAATAATTATAAACTTGTGGGGTTTTCTGTGTTTTTTATTTGTTTCTTAAAGATGAGTAACTCATATTTATTCAGACTCAGTTCAGGCTAATCTTGAAATTTCCACAAAAATTTAACGACTATTTCTTTGACAGGAGTGTTTTATTTTAACTGCTTTCCATTTTTTTAAAGACCTTATTCATACCTTCTTTCCTATTATTCAGTTATTTATAAAGTTATTTATAAGTTTAATTTAAAAATTAAGTAAGTGGGGCCAAGGAGAGAGTACAGGGTTAAAGTGCCAACCTGGTTTAATCCCCAAAACCACATAGTATTCCCTTGTAGCTCAGGCAGTCCCTTAAACACTAATGGGGGGAGGGATGGAAAAGGGAGTACCCTCAGGTCGACCTGGGTAATCCCTAGTACTGCAGTGTCTGGTAGCACTGCATTCTCCAGCCCTTGTATTGAACCAAAGGACCAGTTGACCAAGAATCACCAGGAGGAATGCAGGTCTCCTGAGAAGTGCATGGGAACTCCCACTCTAACACATTAAATAATAAAAAATTGATTACCATTTGCACAAGCTTCCTTGCAGTCCATGACAGTAACAAAATTATTGTCATTTCCACCGCAGCCAGTATAGTTGAAGGTTTCACACTCTTTATTTCTTGCATTAAAATAATAGCGAGTCACATTAGCAGAGCATAATCCTCCATCTTTTGGACTGTAACAAAATGATGGACCTTAATGAGAAAGAAAAAAATTAGAAATGTCACCATGCAATGGTGATTACTGAGTAAATAAAGAAAATCTAAGCCCATGGAAGCTTCATTTCAAATCCAATCCATACTAAACCACTTACAAGAATTCTTCAAATTTCAAGAAAGTTAACACAATGGTAATTCTAAAATTTGTATAAGCTGAACAGTCTTTCCCCTTAAGCGATGCCTTTGCATCATTTAAATGTATAAAGATGTCTTTGCATTATTTGAATATATAAAGAATATAACACCTCCCCCCAGCAAAATACATAAAAGTGAATAAAAATTATCCCTATTTTCTCAAGAGATAATACATCATATGTGTTCGCAAACTGTCTTATGTTGGGAGTTTTATTTTAAATAGTTTTATAGACTCTTTTTCCTCTTAATGAGTAAGCTCTTCATAAATAATAATAATCTCCATGGTTACTAATAATTACTACATATATTGGGTTCCAGGGTATCCAATGTAACATTAACAATTACACAAAAAAATTTAGATAACACAGGTAACAATCATCTTCTCATTAATTAAAGATTCTACAACTTCAACTTGATATGACTATTGAACTTAATCAAAGTCCCTGTCAAAGCAAACTTTCCATTCTTGAATTTCTGTATCTATGTATGAGAGTTCTCTGTTGTGCCTGGAGAAAATGTCACTATTGTCCCGTTCAACAAAGAAAATTTTGTGCAAATATTTTATCTTTTCAAGGACTTGAAAGGGGCGGGGGAACTATCAAATGAGGAAGAGGAAAGGAGTTTTCTGCTGCAATCTGCAAGTACTGAAGGATACAGAAATCTCACAAAATACTTTTGAAAAATATTTTTCAGGTTCCATCCTCTTAAGTCTGTATGACTTCCATTCTTTCAAAATTACAAGTGATTTTGTACGAATCAGATGGCATAACATCAATTAATGAATTAAGTTTTAGGTAGATGAAGTTCTAAGGAAACAATGCAGTGGGATTGGAGCGATAGCACAGCAGGTAAGGCTTTTGCCTTGCATGTGGCCGACCTGGTTTGATCAGCATCCCATATGGTCCCCTGAGCACTGCCGGGGTAATTCCTGAGTGCAGAGCCAGGAGTAACCCTGTGCATCGCTGGGTGTGACCCAAAAAGAAAAATAAAATAGAAAGAATACAGAAAAGGGAAAAAATTAATTATAGCATTTTTACATTCAAATGCTGAAAGCTGTCGAGTCAACTTCTCTTAGCTGGGATAGTACTACTATTTCTCACAGAGTGACAGCGAGTTATTGGCAACATACTATGTGTGAAATCACCAGAATTTACAACATGTTCTTCCTACATAAAATGGTTAGTATTTTTTTTTTTACCCTTCTGGGGATATGTCAACAAGGAAATGAAGAGAAACACTATAAAAATGTTTTATTTACTTCTCTTTGGTAAACAGAAGTCCAAACAGGTAGCTTCATCTGGGAACTGGTTTCCATTACTCTGACATCCAGAAGATCTGTATTTTTCACACCTCATGCTACTGAGATTGAAAAAGTATTTATTTTTGAACTTTCCACACTTCGCCTCATTGACATCCAACCGGCAAACTTTGGGAACTACTAGAAAAAAGAAGGTGAGAAAACAATGTTAGTTAAAAAGCATTTTTATTATTACTTTCAAAACTTGGCTGTATTTCAGAAATAATTGAGTGAGCAGTAAGCTATGTAATATGAGGCAGTAAATGCCTCCAAGGACTTCCCATCAATTCAGTTATTTAACTTTGTTGTTGTTGTTGTTCAGGTGTACCCTGACCAGGTCTGATTTAGTTTTGCAAAATCTTTCATATTTAGCAAAAAGACTCCGTCCTCTCAGGAGTTGTGATTCTGTCAACATACAAAGTTAACTGAACTTAAACAAGGGAATACACATCTCCTGACTCAGTTCTCCTGAAGGGAATCCACATCTCCTGACTCAGTTCCTTGAATCAAAAGCATCATTATCACATTACAGGTGTTAAAAGACACAACACTCACAATGGAAATAAAATAGAAAACAGTATCAAGAATCTTCTCTAGTCCAAAACTAAACTCATGATGCTTGGGTTTCAGGGCACAAGAGCAAGACTATAGTGGACTAAATCACACTTTAAATAATAAAATCTAAAAATTATCAGATTGAGGGTTGGAAAGATAGTACAGAAGCTAAGGTGCTCGCCTTACAGGGGTTCCACACAGGTATGATGCCCTGGCAACCTATATGGTCCCTGGAGCCTGCACAGACTCCTGTGCTGAGCTCCCGACCAGAAGTTTAGCCCTGAGCCCCACAGGGTGTGGCCCCTAAACTAAATGAAATGAAATAAAATAAAATGATCGTAATTACATTAATTGACATGAAGAAATTTTTTTCCCCAGGAGGTATAAAAGCAGTGGGTTTAGAATTAATGATAAACACAGAAAAGCACTATGCTGCATCAAGTCCAACATACAGTTGCATTATTATGCCCTGTGGTAAAGTAAGGAATCTCTCGCTTGAGTCACACAGGCACACAGTCACACAGGCACTAAGAGAAAGTCTTAATGTTTGCGAACTTGTGATTACTTGCAGGAAGCTAAAAACCGGTGATTCTTGCTTAATGCCATGAGAAAAGTCAGGCTCAAATTTACGGAGATATGGGGCGCTGGTTAACTGCGCTAAGATCTACCAAATCCACCTGTGCAACAGTTTCTGGGGTGCACACGAGCACTTACTCTCTATTTTCCAGCAAGCTTCGGTGCATTCTTCGAAAGTTTCGAAATTGTTGGCGTTGCCTCTGCAGCCCCCGTACATGAACAAGCTGCAATTCTGTGTGTTCCTGTCATAGTAGTATCTGGGTATCAGCGCCCGGCAGGGTCCTTCGTCTTGAGGCAGGAGACAAACCTCGGCGTTGTTGTCTAGGGGAGAGACAGAGCAAGAGCCCAAAAAGGGAAAGTCAGACACAACCTAGTAAAGGGACATTGCTAGGAAGTTCTGTTCCCTCTAATTCTGCTCCTGGAGAGAGAGCGCGCAAACTGAGGCTGGAGCGGGGCTCCTTTGCGCGACTCCTGGAAGTTCCTGGCAATAGCCTGGGGTGGAGAAGCGAGGAAAAGAGGGGTGGGAAAAAAAAAAAGGTGCAGTAGCTCTGGGAAAGCAGAGAGGAGAGAAAAGCCTGTGATTGGTGCCCTTCGCAGGAGGAAGCCCTGGCCAGAAACGGGTCTGGGACCCCGCTGATACCTGACTGCATTTGAGTCGCGTCGTTTAGCGCAATCCCCAGCAGCAGCGGCAGGAGCAACAGCCCGAGAAGACAAGCGTGGCCCATGGTGCCTGGGTCGGATAGGGTGTCTTGAGAGTGCGCCGGAGGGAGAAGGGTGCACTGAGCTCCGCTTGCAAGTGGCCTGGGTGCCCGTGCCGGGCTGCGCGCTTTATGAGGCTGGAGCGTCTATGCAACCCCAGACCGGAAGGAGCACGCCTGTGCTGTCTGGGGCGTGGGGTGAGGGGTGTGGACAGGCTGAATCACGCCCCGCAGCCTGTTACTCGTTGCTGGAAAGGGTGGTGTTACGGGGGAGAGGAATTCCCCAAGTTTAACCTGCCTCCCAAACTTTCTCTGGTGGCCAGGTGCCGGGCGCGGGTACCCAGATTGAGGTGGGTGTGAGAGGTAGGACAGTGATGGGAAGTCCGAGAACTAGAGGGAAATGACCAGGAGGGATTGTTGAGCAATTTAATCCTCAAAGATGGCTTTTGCTTGATCTTGAATCTCACGCATAGTTTGTACTTTGTTTTACTTCTTTTGGCTCCACTACAGTTTTTTAGATTCCCGCTCCCCACGCCCCATGTTTTTGTGCAGTTCATTCCCTTTTCACTGTGTGCAATCTTTAGTCGCTTGCGGCTGGACAGTTCATATTATTTCCACTTTAAAACTATTTAAAATAAAGATGTTTTTATGTACAAAATCTGATTACTCTGAGATAAAGTAATTAGGAATATTAGAAACGGCCAAATAGTTTCCCAAAATGATTATCATACCATTTTATGTCCCCCACCGACTCTGTGTGTGATTTGTAGCTATGTTTTTGAGTTGAAACATATAAGGTCAAAGAGTCTAGCCTCAAAGGTTCTCGCTCAAGGCTTCACCCAAATCAATCTCTTCCTACCTATTTTCTAAGGCTGGGCAGTTATCAAAGTTCAATGTCCTTTCACAGGTTAACTTCAGACTAATTTTTATTTATTTAAAGAGATAGCTTTGTTTTTAAGTGTACAAGACATTCTCTATACTGAAATTTAATGTGGATTACTGAGGATATATTTGAAGAATATTTTAAATGGGTTCTTGGGAAGAATGTATTTTCCCTTCCTCCTCTTGTTCCCTTGTTCTGGTCTCATGAAAATAATTACTCTTGGCTTCTCCTGAAAATAACACAAGAATTTTAAAGGCATTGCTTCCAAAGTTTTTGAGAAACCCCACCCTCTCAGTGGGTCACTTGTCTAGATCTACTGTACATCAAACCCTCTCCTGTAAGTTCACAGTTACATTGATGTACGTCATGCTGTTGTCATATTCCTCAGAATTTAAGATCCTCAAAATATCTTTTATCTTTTATTCTAGATTTATATAAAAAGCTTTATATATTAAATGCCACTAGGAAAGCAAATGACAGTGTCTGCATGCTGAATGAGACATATATTTCTTAGTACCCTCACTGTTTTTGTTTTTTATCTTATGACATGTAGAAGGAAAAGTTAAGTTAAATAGAAAACACATACGTATTGAAGAAGTATGTATTTATTTTTGTTTGCTTGTTTTAGGGGGAGCCCACACCCAGTGTTTTCTGAGGGCCCACAATTGACAGTGTTCAGGGCCCCAGGATTTTAGCCTGGAATTTATGGCAGTAGTCACACAGTAGGCAAGAACCTTAGCCTCTTGTACTGTCTCTCTGACCCTTGAGGTAATGTTCTTGTTTTGCATGCAGCAGGCTCTAGTTTGATTCTCTGTAGCACATGTGGTCCCCTGAGCATTGCCCGAGTGATCTATGAGCACAGAGCAGGCGAAAGCTATGAGCATCTACAAGGTGGTAAGAGAGTATAGTTTATTTGCCTAGACTTCATACAATGATTCTGAGAGGGAAATATAACCCAAATCTCCCATATTACTGCAATGGAAGTGATACACTGACCTAAAAGAGGCCAGCGCTGGTGCTACTACACTGGACACGATCTCCTTATCTTCTTTTCTAGTGCTTCATGCTCTTCATTCCATTGAATCAATTCTTTCCCCTTCATGTGCTGAAACACAACTGCCCCCAAGTTTTAATAGTTTCTATTTGGACCTTTGTATCTTTGCTTTCTCTTATTTTTTTTCCATCCCAAACTTAGGTTTACATTTGATTCTATATTGTTTTCCTATCAGAGTACCATTTTACTACTCTCATTTACAGAAAAATTTATCAAAACATTATTTTTATTGTCTACCTTTATTTCCTCATCTCTCACCTTTCCCACATTCCACTGAAACTAAACTTCTCTGTTGGGAAAGTAGCAGAACAATAAGTGTTCACTGTCCAGGGCAAATCTGATAGGGCTTTCCAGTCCATAAGACATTCAAAGCAACAGTTCCTATGATCACTAAAATTCTCATTTTTCCATCTGTGTTTTCTCTAATTTCTCATGGTATCTAAAAAATGGAAACATTTCTCCACTCTTAAGAATTTTTTCTATTAGTTTTTCTGATACCATATTCTACTAGTTTTATGACTAGCCTATTTATATGACTAGCCTTCTCAATCTCTTCTGCCTTACATTTTAAGATTGGGGTGATTCAATCTCAAACCTAAGATCTTTTCTCTCCAACTATATCCTCCTCTCACATTATTTTAAAGTACACACACATACAATGTACATACATACACATATTTTCATATAACCTTGATCTCACCTCTAAATTTTGAACTATTTATCAATTGTGACATCTCCACTTGGGTATCTAATAAATAGCTCTAAAAGTGTATGTCCTAAACTGAAGCCTTGATCATATACCACAAACCTTTCAGTAAAATATACTTCTATCTAGATTTTAAAATAAAAAACATTGGAATCTTTTTTGATATCTTGCATCTCTCTTTGATCCAGTTAAGTCATAAATACATACATCAGTTCTACCTTAATATCACATTTATATCTATCTATATTTCTTTATGTCCAAAATGAACAATGCAGTGCAAATCTATCCAGTTTGATTTCTATCATCATCATTTCCATCATTAATTTGCTAGTGCAATATAAAAACTTTCCATATTATTGCTTTATATTTGCAATGCTTCTTTATCATCCATACCATCAATGCTAGTAATACCCCACTAGGTCCAAGAACCCTTTCTCTCTCTACCTTTGTCATCAAACATGACTGTTGGTGCTATCTCAAAGCCTGTTTTCATTGGGAACTGTTTCATCTCTTACTTTGTTTCTTTATATGCTGGATTGAGTTAGAACATTCAGTGATTGTTTTTTTCCTTCTAATTCACTTCACTTAGTAAATCTATTCATGGTGAAGTGAATAGCTAAGTAGTATTTCATTGCATGTATATTCCACAATTACTTTTTTTCTTCTTTTTCCCCTTGTTTTTGTTTGGGGGCAACACATGGTGATGCTCAGGTATTACTCCTGGGTCTGTGCTCAAGGGACCATAAGTGGTGCTGGGGATTTGAACCATAGTTGTCTGCACTCAAGGTTACTTTCTGTACTATTTCTTACTTTCTGTACTATTTTTCCAGTCCCCCTTTTTTATTTTTCTTAGGAAACACACACTATAGGTTTTAAACCGGTGACTTCACTTTTGTTACTCAATCAACTTCCACTTGATGGTATTTGTTTGTCTTGGAGTAACACCAGACCATGCTCTAGACTTATTCCTGACTTTGTACCCAGGGATCACTCCTGGTGTTGCTCAGACCACTACATTTGGTGCCTTGGCTCAAACCCTGGTTAGTAGAATGAAAGGCAAGAACTCTGTTTGCTGTAGTAGTATAGCTCTGACCCCACATGGCGAGTTTTAATGTATTAGGCCAAGGTATGATATAGCACTCAAAGTAAAATTAAAATTCTCCTGTAACTCATTTAGTTTCTCATAATGGTTTATAAGGCTCTATTTCTTCCAACCACTATTTCTTTTAATGACCTTATCTCTCTTGATCTCATTATCCTCAATTTATACTCTTTTTTCTTCTGGTATAATTTATTCCCACCTCTGAGTATAGCCTTTGCATGAGCTATTCCTTCTCCATAACCCTTCACTCATTTTGAAGTACTGATTTAGTTTTCATTGTATCTTACTTGAACTTGGGTTTTGATCCAAGTGGCATTACTTATAATCAGCCCATATGCTATCTCTCCATATCCCAGACTCTCATCTCTTTATACTACCTAATGCAATCTTTACTACATTTTTGCATGCATTATGTGAAATTAATATGTTTGGGTTTTTTTTGTCTGTCTGTTCCTGTCACTGCTATATAAGTTCTGTGAAAGCAGAGAGTTCCATGCCTATCTTCATACCATTTGATTCTTTACACCGTTTTATTTAGATCACTGTCACTGTCACTGTCACTGTCCTCCCATTGTTCATTGATTTTCTCGAGCAGTCCCAGTAATGTCTCCATTGTGAGACTTAAGGAGAGAAGGTAAGCACTCCCCTTGACAAGGATGGATTTTAATTTGAAGCTACCGAGAGTATTTGATATGCCAGACACAGTAACAACAAAGTCTCCACTCGAGACGTTACTGGGCCCGCTCGAGCAAATCGACGATCAATGGGAGAGCCTTTACCTTTTACCTTTACCACATAAATATTGTATCTGAGGGCTAAGAATAGCACTGTAGCAGGTTATAGTCTTCACTTGCCCTTCTGTGGAAAGCCTGCCTGCCTGTTAGTTAATTTTGATGATTAATAATATAGTTTGTATGAAGATATTTTGATTTAACTTTTGGGCTTGGAAATATGCTTGCTAGTAAAGTAGAGTCAATATTAGCTCTTGTAAAGTCCTGATTTTTTAGGTTATGGGTAGGCGTTTGATTTTTTAGGTTATGGGTAGGCGTTTTTAGGGAAGTAAAAATTTAAATGTCAGTTAAAGATTCACAGTGAAAGTAGACAATAGAGGAATTGTAAGGAACATAAAATTTCACCCAGATATTTTATTGGGACAAGCGGATGTTCTGTCCTAATCTTAAAGCGGAACGTATACGTGCTGATGTAATGTGTGCCTTGGCACGTTGTTTCTGTAACTGTATAAGACGAAGAACTCTGGATGCAATAAACTGCAGCCCAATCAGCCTCTCTTGTGTTGGTGTCTGTCTGTCCAACGTGCCGAATCTCCTGCTTTCCTGTGCACATT